TTGGAGACCCTTGGTGTAGATAAAATGTGGGAGCCTCGACGTCTCATAACCCTATGGGCCTTCTCGGCCTGTTAAAGGGATAGCTTGAGCTTTTACCAAAGCATAGATCTATAACGCTTTTCGTGTTTGAAGCACTTTGTGCGGTGCGATTAGCTTTGCAACGGTAGATTTGTATCTGCTTCAAGGCCACTGGTAGGCGATATTAGCTGGAGGAAGGTGGAAGTTACAGGTGCTCGGTAAAAATAAGGAGGGCCGCACGGAACAGTGGATTTGGTTGGGTGGTGTATGAGGCTGACCATATTAACAGCCTTACATCTTTCTAATGCCAATAGCGTGCCTGTCTGAAGCGAGTGCTTGTGTTGCCACAAAATAGAAAGTATTACCAGCAGGGCCGCAGAACTCCGGAAAAAAGATCACATAGAACCGCTGTCAGGAATCGTGGTCGTAACTGAAATATGTTTGTTGGCAAAGCTGCAGCTATACACTGAAGAACCGGCGAAGTGACTTCTCTCCGAACAAAGGGAGTGAGACAGGATGCGTCGTTTCTTCCAGTTCTCGGAATTGTAAGCAGATCTGTTTCCTGTTGACGGAGTTGACTGACTGCAGTTTTATTGATTCAGATGATGATATTAATACATAGAAGTACGCTGCCATTTGACACGTAGAGAATGTTAGACATGCCTAGAAGAGTGTTCTTCACACAGAATTTTGGTGCATTTTCCTCTGGCTTCACTTGGTAGACACCAGATTTCATTTGGTCCCAAAGGAAGGGAGGCGTGTGAAGTCCGGTGATCTCGTTGCTCATTTGATAGGATCATGCCATTTAGTTTAGTTATTGCGAAACTATTATCATATGAGGCACGCCAAGTCAGCCCAGAAAGCGGTGCTGTTCCGTCCTGTTGAAAGAAAGCGTTTCTGTAATGAACCGTGCAGAAAATGCATGAAGGAATTTTGTAGCACATGTAGTGCTTTAGTATTACTATTATAAACAAACTATTTCATTTCCCATCGTCTCAGCCCGTACAAAACTTGCACTGATGTAAAATGAGCGGCCTGTTTGTACATCCATTTACTTTATTAAATCTTTTTAATAAAAAAACTGCTGATCCGTGAAGTCCATTTCCGTAGGCAATTAGACCGAAATAAACAAAGAGCATACGCATAGCAGGGCCTATCGCATATTAGAAAGTGCTGCGTAGATGAAACCTAGAGGAAATTGCTGTTTCTGTCAGAGAGATACACAGCGTGAAATGAGGCAGTCAAGGATTCTCTGGGAATGAACGGTAACGCTAGGAGGCAGCGGTAGGCTTCTGCATCATTCCAGCGCGTCCGCTTATGCACTTCGCCAGAGCTGAGGAAAGCCACCACAGACCTCAGTAATGAAGGGGCGGGGATCTTCCGGTAGAGATTCGAATTGAGAGGACAGAAACACTATCTACTACACAGTGATTACTGTCAAAAGGTGAAGATATATCCTACTGGTCGTAGGGTAGGTCCTCGAAGTATTGGCGACTGAGAAACTTAAAAAATTCTTACTTTCTCATTATTTCGTTCTGAGAATTACAGTGACCTGTATGAAGTACTTAATTAGTTATTAGCCATTAAACTGGATTAAGTTAAATTCCACAAACACGTAAGTTACAGGAAGGACTGTAGAGCAATGCACTGTGGCCTACCTTTCAGGATACGTCAGGTTAAGAGGAATGAACATGTAACCGGAAGGGCGCTCCTTCCTTTTTCGTCCACGCATCCGGTTTGACGGTGATCAGTAACGTGAGCGCAAACGGAAGCGCTTTGTCGTCACGGTGACTGAGTCAACTGGTTCATAAACTGTATGCGTGTGGGGTCACTGGAAGAGATCCCGAAAATTGGAGACGACAGTACAAAACCGATAAAATCTACTGCGTAATTCGGAAAGCGGGCAGTAATGAAGAAGAAGGTTGCGCATGACTGAGAGACTTAAAATCCATGCACTTGACATTAGAACCCGCGGCATTTCAAACCTGATACAGCAGATAGTCACCGGAGCTGATGCAACCCAACATCCACACAAATTTGATTACAGGATCACCCCTAGTGGTCACCTGTCACCGGAGACCTACAGATTAATTTTATTACGAACATCTGTGCCCCTCCATACAATACCTAAGTCTGCTGTTAAGTACTATGACCACTGACTATTCCCCACCTCCTCCATTAAGCGAACTTGCTACGTACGAGGACTACGTTTTCATACCGAGCATGCGTACTGCTGCTGCTCCATTACTAAATAATTTTATGGCTTTGTTGTTAACGTAAATCCATGTTTATCACCCGGTATGCAGCGATGCGTGTAAGAATGTGCCGCAGTAGTTTGAATGCAGATGGGGCTGACAAATGATGTGCCATATTCTCAAACACTTGTTCTCTCATCTGATTAACATGTTATACTGCGTCATCGAAAATGCTACTGCTATGAGGCGTTCCATCTTGTAGGATATCACGCTATGTAGTCTAATGAAATTCAACCAACATTTCAGAGGAACATGTCGCCTGCTTGCTGTCTGCTTCGTGGTGTTTTCTTGTTTGGCTTGTTCTTGAACCCTGAAGATGGAGGCGATATGTTGCTCCGTAACCAGACTGAACGTCATTATATCCCAGATAACAAATCATTATAACCACTGTTGTGAGAACCTCAGATCCAACATGTTGCTTCTCTGATTAATAATATTGTGGCGTGCCGCCTAAAAGCCGGACTGTATGACGTCCATCGTTACGCAACGGCTGCAGTGGGAATGCATACTTCAGCGACAACGAATACATGGAAAGACAACTACCTAAGAAACTGCCTAGACAACAGAGGCAAAATTGTTGAGTTCCCACGGCAACGAATAGACCCGTAACGAATATTCTAGCTAACACGGGAAACAACCCTTCGACAAGGTGTTCTCTCAGCGGTACACTAAGATCTACTTAAGAGGGTAGATTACGACAGAGCAGCTCAGATCCGACGAGGGACCAGGGAAGAACCAAGAGCAAAGACACTCCACCGAGAATAGCTGTGCAAGAAGAGTATACCCGTTGAAGAGGAAACGCAAAGACACGACGGACTAATCAGGTCGCTTTGTCTGAAAGGGCGTCATTTGAGAGTAGTTATAATTGTGAGCGTAAACGAGGAGTTATCCAATAAACAGCGTCGTCTAATCCGGAACCCATAATTTCTTGTCGCGTTACCTGGATGCGTGACAATATCTTCACGGTGCTGATTGAACTGGTGGTGTAGTAGGATATTAATTTAACAGGAAATACCTCACTGTTTTATATGGCGACATTTCCATGTCATCAGTCGTCATTTCCATCATCACTGGTGATATCTTGATAAACGCTGTGCTTCAGAATAACATTGTTAATCTCAATATTTATTTTTTAATGCTAGTGGGGTGGGACTTCCCTTGCACTGCGGCCACTTCTGGCCTATTGTACCAGCCCCAGATGATAGGTGAGGATGATTGTGGAGCAATTGGTGGAATGAAGATTGGCAGGGGAACAGAAGTACTAGAAGAAAACCTGCCGCAGCGCCACTTTGTCCACTACAAATCCCACTTGACCAGACCCGGGATCGAACCCGGGCCGCCGCGGTGGGAAGGCAGGGACTAACCGCTTGAGCTATGGCGCGGCCCAATCTCAGTATTCTACTTATCTGTTACTCTTACCATCTCTTATTCGTCACCCAAATAGTTTCATACAGTTAAATGTTTCTGTGTTCTGTACCGCATTATACAAACAATATGTAGATATAGAACAGCGAAATCATGGGGACGAACATGAAATACGTGTATACATACACGTGTACATCTGTACTCGCACATGACTCGGTGTGCCGTAGAGTACTGAGCTATATTTCGGTGTGTTGCCAAGCAGAAGAGGTTGAGAAACATTAGTATTTAGTTGTGTAAATTGTGGACAAACAATATAGAACAGCAACGAAGTTTAACTTTAGATTAAGATTTTATTCCCGATGTGAATTAGACACGAATGCTGAAGGTAAGCCGCGACGATTAGATGAACGCGTAAAAGAGTATAGAGAAAGAAATATAAGCGGAAAATTTCATGTCCGTTCATCACAACATTGGATTTTGTGAAGTTAATGTGAAACGGTTTATCATATAAAAGTTTGTGAATGGTGCAAACTACTTTCTGCATAATGATTTGTAATCTTACCGAGCCAGTTGGCTCAAGCGACAATGCTTCCAAAGTTTTTATTCAGAAGTTGACGGTTCGAATATCAACCGGCACATCTATCGTGACTGAGGTTTCCTTGGCTTTCTTCAGTCCCCATCTCATCATTCAGTATCATAATACCATTCGCCGCGCATTGTAACCTGAGCTAAATGTGACAGGTAAACTTAACCCTGTGCTTAATTCATTAAGCTCTATGCCGTGAAGACGTATGGGCGCGTGGAAGCATAGCTTCGTAATTCTTGACCTCGGCACTAGATGGAGATGGTCAGTTTCACGCCCCGGCCCGCTTTACTCCCCGGCAGATCGACCTCGTACCCATTAAATAGGTTGGATGGGCCCCAGAGCCGGTCAAGCCGCTGTGGAGAAGACAAAATTCTGCAGCCGGGATTCGAACCCCGGCCGTTCAACACATAGACCGTCGCTGTACTGACTGAGCTATATATGTACTTAAGAAAATATGTAGCTCTAGTGCTTTACTTCTTTTTTTAATTTAATATTGACGAAGTCGGGAATTGTGGAGCTATATCTCCAGTTCCCCATATGTCTTCATGGCACTGTTCTTAAATAAGCATAGGGGAAACTTTACCTTTACTTTAATTTAATGAGTTACATAAAAATCATTTATGCTGTGATATGTATGCTAATGAACTGTCTTGCAACCCTTTGCCTTGTCTATGTATTGCTGTTCTTGATAAGTCAGCTACGTACTGTATAAACGGCGATATATCCCAAAATATGTCTTGCTGGTACATGCAATGAGTATGTCTTTGCTGTTGCAGCTATGTGGTCTGGCTATACTGATCGCTGGTGCACTCTCCTATGCCAACATCGACAGGGTTGACAACCATCTGCATAATGTCGACGTTTCCGGATCCCCAATAGCCCTGATTGTTGTTGGCTCCATTGTGTTCATCGTCGCTTTCTATGGATGCTGCGGCGCCATCCGGGAGAGCCACTGCATGGTTGTGACGGTAAGGGACACAACGAATATTTCTTAATACGATGTATTCAGCAAAAATATATTTTTACATAAGGGAGGAGGGGAACACGTGGGTAAATTTCGAAGCGATCGCAAGCTTTAGGGCGATAACACACCAAGGAAACTGGCAACCGCAACGCAACCACGATTTCCGAGAATTGTTATCAGCCTGAGTTGAACACATGTTACTGAATGGAGCAGCGCAAATTGAGGAAGCGGCAACGCAATATGCGCCTCGCGGCATGCTGGGCACCGGGCGCTGTGAAGCGCAGAGCCGTGAACTCGTCAAGTGACTAAGAATCCTCCCTGTACATATACTAGGAACTGAGACTTGCGTATCCTTCATATCTGGATGTTCATTTACTTTGGTGTTTATTTCCTCGGAAATTTAATATACTCTCAATACATGATACAAACTCCGTCTTCAGTGCAAACCATATATTATAGGTCTTTCGTTTTGCTCTCCTTTACACACTACATGTTTCGGCCACAAACGGCCATCATCAGGTGTATTACTCACGTATCTGTCACACTGCACTTAGTTTAACATTTAAAATTTAAAAACACAGGTCTTCCTGATTGTTCCTTTCGTCGTTATTACCAAAATCTACTTCGTTGATATCTTTGTTATTTACAAACGTTAATTTTGATTTCTCTGAATTAGCACTTACAAAATATGGTTGCACTGAAGACGGAGTTTGTATCATGTATCTTATGGAGTGCAACAGGATGCTTAAATATAATATTGTAAATACTCTCAATACTGTGTACAAGGAGGGGCACGCGGTAGCGTAGTTGGTTGAGGCACTATGCTAGAAGCCGAAAGGTCGAGGGTTCAAGTCCCGATGAGGTCATTGGATTTTTTCCATTGACCTAAACCTTCCGGCCGCACTATGGCCCTAGGGTTCATTCAGCCTCTAAGTACCAGGAATTAATTAATTAAATTTCCTGGGGAGTAAAGCGCGGCCGGCGCGTAAGGCCGACAGCCTTACCGCCATCTTTGAGCCGATTGTCTAGATAATGTGGGACCCTCAACGTGTCACAACCCTATGGGCCTTCATGGCCTGTTACAGGGATAGCTTTACTTTTACTTACTTTTTACGAGGAACAAAATATTGATAAAATGGCGAATTGTTAATATCTGACTGGACTGGTGTGCTGAAAACTTTTTATCATTCAGGGAGCTTCCTACCGCGGCGGCCCGGGTTCGATCCCGGGGTCTGTTCAAGTGGGGTTTGTGGTGGACAGAGTGGCGCTGGAGCAGGTTTTCGCCAAGTACTTCGGTTTCCCCTGCCAATCTTCATTGCACCAATTGCTCCACAATCACCCTCTCCGATCATCTGTGGCTGGTACAAAAGGCCAGAAGTGGCTGCAGTACAAGGGGCTTAGTCCCACTCCACTAGCAATAAAAAGAATACTACTAGTCTACAACACCGTTAGCAATTTTAAAACGATGTAAGCAGAGCTATATATGAGTCTTTGCATCTGTTGATGACACTGCGGCCACTTGTCGGTTTATACAAGGACCAAGACAAGGATTCTGGTATGGTACAGCTTTCTTCCCCGGGAGCTACACGGTGTTTGACTCATAAGTCGCTGAATTACATAACGCAGCAATTCAGGTGCAATTGATTGATTGTAACAACTTTTACACACTATCTGTGAGATGATCTGGATGTCAGAATTGTGTTTGTCAGTGAGGTGTGAGTCGATTTTCCGTGCCCACATAAAGGTCCGGACAGGATCGTCTTATGCTGAAGTCCAGTTCATCATTACTGAACGAGATTTGTCTGTAAGGCAAAAGGAACAGTATGGCGTATTGACGACAAAGCTATTTTGTGTTGTAGAGTACTTCCCCCTTACCTGTAGACAAACACAGTTGTAGTTGGAAAACTGGAAAGGATGAGAGCAGATGGAAGGCTACGTGTAAGTCAGAGTATAATATTAACCGTGTAAATGGGTGGATGGTGTGAGCAAATACAAGATGTTGCCAAGGATCTCTATCGTTTTGCATAATAAATTCATAAACTAGAGACAAATGAATTGTCGTGTAAGCTTGCCATAGCTAGGAGCTGGGAGAGCGTAGGCCATATAGCGACTGGCTACGGGCTGGACGACCGAGGGAGTCCCAATAGGATCAAGAATTTTATGTACGTTGTCCAGACTGGCTCTGGGGTCCGCCCAACTTCCTATCCAATGGGTACCAGGGGCCCTTTCCCCGGAGGTAGAGCGGCATGGGCGTGAAGCTGACCACTCACCTACAACTAGTGCCGAGGTCAAGAAAATGTGGATCTATACATCCACTCCACCATACGCCTTCATGGCAGGGACAGCATTACCTTTTTAACCTAAACCTTGCCATAGGTCAGTCGCTTACTTGCCAGGATCCCATCGTGGTCAGGTCGCGTGGAATTTCTGGTGGACAAAGTAGCAATGAGGCAGGGTTTCTTTATTCAAGGTACTTTGGTTTCCCCTTCCAGCCCTTATTCCACCAAATCCTCAATACTCATCTATTATCTGTGGTCGACATACCAGGTGGACTCAGTCTTATCCCACCCCACGAAATAGGAGTTGTATTGGCCTACCATTATTACAGTAAAATGAAGTAAATATGCTTTCAGTTTGCAGTGTTCCTGTTGGTGATCCTCATAACGGAGATCGCCATTGGAATTGTGGCCTTCGTGAATCGAGATGGCTGGAACACAGCAATCCATGACAGCCTCACTGATATGTTTGGCCGTTACGATCAGGACGAGGCCATCAAGAAGGACATCAACAGCTTGCAGAAAGCAGTAAGTCACACAAGAAATACAGGTTGATACTCATTTCTGCAATTGATACTTAAAGCCACTGTCAGTCTAGGTTTGCAGAAATGTTATGATGCAATTTCTGTTTAACCCTCGACATAATCTGATAGCACGAGATGTCTTCTTCTTATTTGTTTGACTTCAGCCTTTTCGTCGGCTGATGAAATGTGGACAGAAGTGAAAATAGCATATACTTTCGCCATTATTTTGAGGCGTTTAGTGTGTAATATTAATTATATTACGTATGTGCTGTAGATGGCACAGTGAGTGAGCCACTCGGTTTGGGAAAACTTCCTGAGTAAGGTGAAGAAACGAGTGAGAGTGAGCCACTTGGCTCGAGAAAACCTCCTCAGTAAGGTGAAGAAGCGAGTGAGAGTGAGCCACTCAGAGTGTGAGTGTGTGTGTGTGTGTGTGAGTGAGAGAGAGAGAGAGAATGTATGATTGAATTGATGGATGGCATTAATGAATGAAAAGACAGATGGCATGAATGGGAGAATGGGTGAACGAACAGGTGGATGCAGAGATCGATACACACAGTGTAGTTCAGGGATTCAGATATCCTACATTTTGATGTACTTAGGCTTCCAAATTGTAATGTATATCGCATCTCGTAACCGAGGTTCAAGAGTCAGAATTGAACCGACAGAACATATTTTATAGTTTCAGGCCATTAAAAACAGATAACAACAAATTGCCTATCGCGAACATGCAGCATGAAACTCCATTCACAAACTGTGTAACAGCCCACTGTAACAAGCAGCTGATGATGGCAACACGCCAACATAACACTACAATGCCCTGATTATAGGGTGATCTTGAGGCGAATCCCTTATTCGCAACCATGGGAATGAAAGGAGTGATTTGCACATCATTTAGATAAAGTAATGAATTTCATAGGCTAATTATTGGCTCCTTACATCACAGTTTACTGTGAGCTGCTTTGACATTCAAACCTGCATTCTGCCCACTGAATGTATTTATGGGTTTCACATGATTATCAGAATAAACCACTGTTATTTCCCTAAATGGCATTAATGGATTAAGCTGTAATTCTGTGTGGGTGTGAAAGTTTGACATTAAAGGACGAACATGGACTGTGAGGGTGTTTGAGAACAGGCTGCTGAGGAGAATATTTGTACGGAAGAGGGTTGAGATAATAGGAGGTTGGAGAAAAGTGCATAATGAGGAGCTTCATAAATTTTACTTTTCATCAAATATAATTTGAATGATAAAAGTCGAGGCAAATGACATTGGGGGGTGGGGGGTGGAGAAGAGTAATACATATAGTGTTTTGGTGGGAAAGCCAGAAGGAAAGAGACCACTAGGAAGACCTAAACATAGGTGGGAAGATAATATGAAAATGAATCTTAGAGAAATGTGCTGGGGTGGTAGGGATTGTATTTATGTGGCTCAGGATTAGGAGCAGTGGAGGGTTCTTGTGAACATCATACTGAACCTTCGGGTTCTGTAAAATTTTAGGAAGTTCTTGAATAGCTGAGCGACTTTTGGCTTCTCAAGGACTGAGTTCCATGGAGCTGGTTACTGAGAACTGAATGATTGGTCTTTGAAGGGAGACGCATGCTTTGTGTGAGGCGGAGAGTGAATTTTCTAAATATCATTTTGATTAATTCCAAGCTTCAGACGTTTACTAAGAACAACTGTCTGACAGTAGGGCCAAGACTGTAGTTAGTGAGATGACTTTAGGCTGGGTGAGTCCGTTTGCCTGTTGTATCATTCCCTTTAGAGGGAAGCGATATACTAGTACATACACCACCAGAAGGGACTTGGTGAACTAACCAATGAGGCTCCACATGGTTGTAGAATGTTGTTTTGTAGTTTAATTGTTATAAATTTTTATCTGACCAGCTTGAGTGCTGCGGCATTGACGGACCCGATTACTGGAAAACATCTATACCGGAGGGTTGCTGCGTAAACCCTGATGGAACCTGCTCAGCTGTGACCGACCCGAAGCAAGTTTTCCAGGAAGGATGTGTCCAGAGACTGGAGGAATTGATTCATGCCATCGGTCTCCTGCTTGGTGTGCTTGCTATCGTAATTGGGATAGTAGAGGTACATGAATTCCCAGTTTCGGAATTAATGTTTATGTTCTTTACGGAGTACTTTCCAAAACAATGTCTTCATATAAAAATTAACTCTCTTACAATGGTTCAGTGATAATGTGAGTCTTGTTTTGGGGCGATGTCACAGTGAAGATGGGGACTGTACTGTAGAAATTGCTCAGAAAGTAAGGCAATCCGAAACTTCGACAATACAGCACATGTTTACATGGTGACATCATCCAGAAACAAATTCACATTAACTTTGTGACATACTACCGGAGGGTGAAGAAGTTGGTGTTATATCATCTACAGCTGACAAGGTTTAATCAACAGCAGCATTAGTTATACTAAAAGAACCTTGTTCATAGTAAATGGTTACATTAACACACAACTGAAAGTATTATTCATGACCAGATGTGTTTGGAAGTTACCTGTAAAAGCCCAAATGTAAAGTGACCCCATTTTTTTTATGAGAAAATTATATATATATATTTTTTATGTAATAGTCTAAAATGAATACAAACAATACACTGAATCAGTCTTACAAGTTAAATTTAAAATATGTCATTGTTTTTAAACCAAACATGGGCGCACCATAGCTCAAGCGGTTAGTCGCTGGCTTCTCACCCTGGCAGCCTGTGTTCGATACCGGGTCTGGTCAAGTGGGATTTATGGTGGACAGAGTGGCTCTGGGGCGGGTTTTCTCCGAGTACTTCGGTTTCCCCAGCCACTCTTCATTCCACCAAATTCTCCATCATCATAATAATCACCCGGGGCTATAATAGGCCAATCAGTGGCCGTTGTCTGAGTGGAACCGGTTGGACTGCACCCCCCCCCCCCCTAACCGAAATTTTTAACCGAA